AAAAAGTAAACATTTTCAACTGTTTTCAACCCAGTTTTCCACCAAATGTCATTGAAATCTATTATAATTCAACATATTCTTCTAAAAGCAAACAAAATGTCAACGTATAACCTTCACAAAGAGGGTTACAACGCATTAAGTACTAAAAAAACTGCAGAATAACAGAACATTCCAGTTCTGTTCAATATATTGATATGTTTGAATATCCACTAGTTTAAAAAAAGCCTCATATGTTGTTGTTAAATGTCACCGTGAAGACAACATGGAAGCAGCTTGTACCTTGTGTATATCTTAATAATATTTAGTGATTCTGTGAATGAGTCCACATCATAACTTTAGCTTATCAAAATAGCAAAAAACAAAATTAATTAAACTCAACTTACGATAATTGCCACACATCAAAATGCACTGATGTTAGAGGCCGTAAAAGTTGAACAAAATGTCGACCAACGGTTTTATTTTTAATAGGAAAGTAGGAGACACTCATACATAAACCCTTACAGGAACAATCTGGTGTCCCAGTAATTAAAATTTAGCCTCTGCTGCAGTCGTTTAGTCGTTTGGATCTGCTGGAAAGACGTTTGTCTGTGTCTTTGGATTCCTTAAGATACTCAAACCTTTAAGCTGCTTCCCATTGAGGGTGAAAAAAACAAAAATTCACAAGTCTGAAAACACGTAATAATCCTAGAATTCAGCCAAAATGTTTCACAGAACCCAAATATCAAATAAGTAAACTCTGAACTGAATCTAAGAGGGTGCAGCAACATGTTTTCTGGATTCTGTCTTAAGTGACACAGACCGATCCTCAGGAGATGTTTTCCAGCATCTAAAAACAAACAAACAAACAAACAAACAAACAAACAAACAAACACTATATGTAAACATTAACAAGGTGAGAGGAAGTCTTTAAAAATAATGAATCTGATGATAATGTCAACATGATTTATGCTTTCTCCTAGTTTTATTACTTTACACCAATGTTTTATTTTACTTTTAGGTCATTATATTCCGTTTCTCAATTTAACTCAATATGCAATTAACGTACATTTTAATTAGTGATGCACGATATTAAAATTTCTGGCCAATATCCGATATTAAGTTTTCTAACATCACCGATAACCGATACCACCGATGTCAATATTCAATTTTTGTTCACACTGAAAAATGAGTATAAAGAAGCACTGTGAGAAACCTATTCAGAAGAATCCCAGATGAGACCACATAGTCTTCTATATTACAAAAGTAAAACATATTTAACATATTTAAGTTCAGGACCATTTAAGTAAAAACATCTGTGAAATAGCAACGATATCAAACGTAGAGACGAAGGCGCTGATGTTAGACAATCATCGGCTAAATGTGTTCATCTGACCGACACGATATATCTGAAACAACACTGTTATCGTCATCTCAAATTTTAATACATACTGTGCCAATGCTTTTAAAAAGAAAATATTATTCAAGTAAAGCTTAAAAAAACTATAATTTAAGATATATTAAAGATTTGTTTTGAGACAATTGGAATGAAATGGCTATATGGTTTTAATACTTGGTTTAAAGTTGCAACGTGTCAGTAGGATGCAGAGACGCTGCAGTGCCGCAGGGGGCGCAGCCGCCGGAAGTCAGCGGAAACTCTACCTTTAATTGTCGCCGAAGAAGAACACAGACGCACATGTGCTTCCTGTTTCCTTCCGTAAACTGCATGTGGAAGAGTCCCTCTGCTGAATAAATAGCTACCAAAAAGCGTAAAAATGGTTCGTAAACTTAAGTATCACGAGGAGAAGCTGCTGAAGAAGGTGGACTTCATCAACTGGGAGGTGGACAACAACCTGCACGAGGTCAAGGTGCTGCGGAGGTTCCGCATCGAGAAGAGGGAGGACTACACCAAGTAGGTGACCGCACCGGGAAGCCTCATGTACAGGCTGCTGGGTTAACAAGGGATCATCTACACAGGACAGAATCATGAACAACAGTTCAAATAAAAAAGTATTACGAAACGGGTTTGATAAGAAAAACATATTTGTGCCTGATCTACGCTGTTAGCTGGTTGCTAGTTGACAGAAGCTACACACCAGAGCTAGCTGAGCCTGAAGATGGTTTATATCCAGATATAAGTCTGTAAACATTTGGGCTGCAGGTAATGGGTAATTTGGGTAATGTAATTACTTTCTTTGTCGAGTATTTTCTTGATTAATCGAACAGTTGTTTGGTCGATAAATGGTAATTGTTTTTCAGTGTTTCCAAAAGCTAAAGAAGCTAAATGCTGGACTTAGATTGTCCACAATCCAGAGATATTCAGTTTATTCTCAGAGTCGTAAAGAAAAACAGAAAGTGTTTAAAGCTCAAAAGCTGGAATCAAAGATATTTTTACTGATTCATGTAATAGTTGACAGCTAAACAATTAATCTCTAATTGGGTAGTTTGGGTAAACCAAACCTTTAAATAAAATGAAAGCAGCAACAAGCAGATCCATAATACTGAGTACAGACCAGAACAATATGTGAGACTTTTTTTTTTTTTGGTCAAATTCTACTCATTTTAGAATCGTAATCAGTTTTATCAGCCTAATATGTACACATACAGAGGATCTTACTTGCAGTTTTCACAGCACAAAATATAACCTGTTTAAACATGGGCGACAGATTACAGAAGAGAAAATAGTGTTTAACGATCACGTACAGCTATATATCCGTGTTAAAGGGCAAAGAGTCTAAGGCAGGTATTAAATGATCATGTTGTACTATGTAGGTACAAGAAGCCTGAACCGTGTTAATATTGATTTCGTCCGTTTGTGTCTCAGGTACAACAAGCTGAGTCGTAATGTCAGAGATCTCGCTAAGAAAATCCGAGACCTGGACGAGAAGGACGGCTTCAGAGCTCAGAGCACACACCGGCTGCTGGAGAAGCTGTGAGTTTCTGGGTGTCACCGTTTGGTTTGTTGGCAGAATCCACTCAGACTTCAGTGAGATGACATCAGTTTGATCCATTTTAACTTGTATATTTCATGTTTTTTGTTAACTTGAATCCAGTGTCAGTTTTGCTTTGTGCTTCTGAAGTTTGTTAAACAAGTTATGACATCGCACGTCTTTCTTAATCTGCATCGACATGATAAATGTGTTCATGTTCAGGTACAGCATCGGTCTGATCCCCACCAAACAGAACCTGTCTCTCACAGAGAAAGTCTCAGCTTCATCGTTCTGCAGGTAAAAGCTGTTAAACTCATGAATGCAACCGTCCATCAGCTGTCTGTCGATGTGCCTGACCAATGTGTGACTCCTGCAGGAGACGACTCCCCAGCATCATGCTGAAGCTCCGTATGGCTCAGAACCTGAAGACGGCCATTACCTTCATCGAACAAGGACGTATCCTTTAATGCTGCATGACTGCATTTCTTATGAAGTTTTGTCTTCTTTTTGTTGCTTAAATGTCTTGAATTAGCTTTGAAAGACGGATCAGACTCGTCTGCATCCAAGGATAGAAATAGTTTTGCAGCGTCGCCCTTGACTCGGTCACAGATGTGCGTGTTGGACCAGACATCGTCACAGACCCGGCATATCTAGTCACAAGGTTGGTCTCCATGTGTTGTTTTGTCTTCCTACAATTATTTTAGTTTCTTGCAGCAGAGTTCGTTTCACACAAACACGACTTCGTAGATACGCGTGTAAAAGCATCTGCAGACAAATACTGACGCTGTGACTTTTGATTTTTTAGAAATATGGAAGATTTTGTCACGTGGGTGGACTCCTCAAAGATCAAGCAGCATGTCATGAATTATAACGATGAGGTGAGTGACTTGTGTGTTCTGGACACTTCCACCCCGTCAATGCGCTGCCCCGGGGTGGAAGTGTCCCCCGACCGCGGCAAATATTCTGATATTCATCATTAATTGGGCCTGAATATCCAGAGATCAGAAAGTGCTATTGGGACCAGCCCTACTAGTTATTGTAACAACTATGAACAATAATTAACAACTAATGAGCCTTCCAGCATCAAGCCCTCCTTGTATCTGGACCTCCGTCTTGACAATCCGACATAAAAGAAGGTTTTACATTTAGTGTCACGACTGTAATCCTAAAACAGAAGCTGGTAAAGCACTTGTTGATCTTTTATGATTTGCAAGTACGCAGTTAAAAACATTAATACTTCCAGGGTTGCAGCTGCAGAATGAGGCTAAAAATGTCTTAGATGCGATAAGAATAGGCTGCTTCATAGGCAACACGTTTGATTCAATACACAGTTGTTCCTACAGTCAGATCTACTCGTTCCTGACTGACGGGCAGCGATAAGCCGATTAACTTACACATTCAGTCTTGTGCCAGACTTCCTTCATGCTTTGGCTGCAGTAGCTGCGTTGCCTTGAGCCTGTTTCAACCCTCCTGTAATCTGTGGCGTCATTTTGACTCCATTCAATGTGTAACATCTCTAAAGAAGTCATTGACATCATTTTTCAGGTTTATTTAAAGGGCTACTTACAATTTGAATTATATTTTCTGGAGGTTTAAGTTTCTGGGGTCAAATTGAACCTGAGGATAAAAGATGTCAGAAAATTTGAAGGTAATAGGAGGGTTAAAGTCCTCGTATTGGTTTAGGAATATAGTGTTTTGTGAGAAATATGACCTGTCCATGTTTGTGATCATTTTTCCAGGTTAAATCATAATTGTGACTTTTGTTTTGCAGAGGGACGACTTTGATCTGGTGGCATGAGTCTTTGTTCTGGCGTCTGTTCGTCACCCCGGAGGACAAGAATTCTGTTAACCATGCAGGAGTTTGGATCTCTAAAGGCTCGGAAATAAAGAAGCACTCTCATCTCCTCCAATCACGACTTGGCTGAGGAAGGACAGGAATTAATTCAAAGGCTTCACGTTGTTTAGCAGATTCTCTTTGGATGCTGTGGAGTCTGAGCTGCTGACAGTTGTTCTAACACGTTAAAAAAAGTGGTTGTAAAACGAGAACTGCTTCATGTCATTATCAGTATTTGACTTTTTGAGCAGCAGATCCACTGAGGGACCGTCATCGTGGTGTGACGGATCCATTTCCTGTAACTCTACGTTGTTTGTTCTGATCTTGTTTGACTGTCGAGTTGCTGGTGTACATGTACAAACTGACTGCTTGTCATATTAACTTGTGTCACACATAGAGGTAAAACAGAAACTGAATATTTGATAAATATTTAATTTTTTTTCATTAAGACTTTCTTACAATTGTGTAAACTTTGTAAACAATAAACATCTTTATCACAGTATTCTGCACATGGTTTCCCCTCAGTACCAGCGTGTCAACATGTCAGTCTGTCAACATACTGTCCTTAAGCTTTCCAGTAAACAGGAGCTCACCATAAAACATCTGCTTCCACACACACACACACACACACACACACACACACACACACACAGAAGTCTAACAGACCTCAGTTTATACCGGACAGGCAGCGTAACCCAAAGCTGAACAAAGCATAGACAGAGCGTCCACCTTGGCGCTGGTGGACGGTACGACCCCTTCAAGGCACCCTGGTATGCAATAAAAGTGTAAGAGGATTAAATGCTTTTCGAAGATAAGTGCCTCCTTTGTGTCAAATCCAACTGTCCTTCAGAGCCACCAGAAGCGCACGTAGACGATGAGCGTGATGAAGAACACTGCCACGGCCGCCACCTTGGCGTAGGTGGAGCGGGTGTTGAGGTACTTTGCATCGCTGCGGTATTTTTTGGACAGGGAGGCCAGGTTGGTGGCTTTTGTCTCTATAGCTGAGGAATAACGGAGACATGTTGAAGTCATCTGGACATCTACTACAGTTACTCTGAAAGCTGGAGTAACATCAGAATTCAATCCAAAACACCAACACTGAAGCATAACTGAGGCCTCGTTTACACGCAACAGAAACAGTGATATGTCAATTGACCTTTGGTTTACACGTAAACGAAGCTACGAGTCACCGAAAACGATCAGATTTGGAAACTCCAGCCAAAGTGGAGATTTGGAAAAACAAAAACTGTGATCAAAATGGATGCTGTTTAAGTATTTTCCTTGTTTTGAACTCTTAACACCACTTCTTCTATTATCGTTGAAGTAACGAAGTTTTCGTTGTTGTGGTTTTTCCAGGATTCTGATTGGCGAGCATGGCTTTATGCTTCTCGTTACACTGCCCCCTATAGGTCTGACAGCTCACAGCAGCTCTTAACGATGTTTTTTTGTAAACAAAGATTTTTTTGAAAACGTAGATCCATTTTAGTGAATACCGGCTATGTGTAAACGTGGCCTCAGTGTAGAGAAGAATCAGCACCTCCAGTAGCTACTACGGCAATACTGTACTGGGAGGCATTATAGTACCAGGTGGTCCTGGTCATTTGTGCAGATATGATAGCCACAATTTTCTTTTTAATGAATGTACGTACCAGAAAGAGCTTCTCCTCTTTGCAGAACTTCCTCAATATTCGCCACCATGATTCTCTGGACATCCTGCAGCTCTGTGTTGATGCTGCCCAGGTTCCTCCGGGCCCTGCTGTCAACATACGACTTCTTTTTTTTCTGGATGTACGTGTCTGGAACAAGTAAAGACCAGCATTAATTGTTTCAGATTATACACTGCACACTCATACAGGCATGCCCTCTGGGATTTTCCCTAATTTTTCATGTTGTATGACAGTTGGGCCTCAAGCATCACCATCAACCATCAGACACCTTAAATCTTTATACTCTGAAAGTGATGGACAGAAATCCTGTTGGGCGGCATCACTGTCATATGCAGAGAAGATAAAAACATACGTAGCTTTGACAGCTTCATAACCCTAACCCAGCTCCACAGCCTCTTTCCACATTTATCCAAAAAAACAAAGGCAGCACTGGAGTCACTCGGGGCATGACGGATAGAAATAAAACCACATCGTACATCTAAATTTAGACAGATTTCTCCATAAAGGGCTGTCAGGTCTAAAACACATTAAAAACAGTACACAGACCCAAAGTCTTGCACAGGAAAGGTTCAGGGCTGGATAACAGCAAACCAGAGCTGTAGACATTCTTAGCGAGTATACTGCTAATATTTTCATTTATGCATCATAATGAATGTATATAGTGACGTGTTTCCTCAGAAAAACCACAAAAACAAGAGTCCTACCAAACTCGATGAAAGAGTATGGCCTCGTTACTGTGGGCACTCTTCTTCCATACTGGTCATAGAACTCATTGTGGAGATCTTCAAGGTACGCAAAAGCCATCTTCTTGGGGAAAGAAGCCTCGCAGAGGGACAGGTAGCACACACCCTGGGCTATTAGAAAGCTGAAAACACATTTGAAGCAATGTTAAATTTACTCTGATGTCTGGTAACATCAACTAAAACACTCCCAAAATCAACTCTACTGTACTTTACTGTCTTACTGAAAGTTCATGTCTCCGGCCTCCAGAGTGCAGCGGTCCGGACTCTGAGCATTCAGTTTGCGGCAGAGCTGCTTCACCTGGTTCTGGTACTGCTGGAGGTCTTTTCCTGACTGGCAAAGAGAGGACAGCAGGTATATCAGGCCTCATATTAAAATTACACAAATTGTCCCAAAGCCACAGAGCAAAATGAATAAGTTTGACAGTTTAATGCAATTTTTTTTTTTAGTAATTACCAGGTAAACCTAGCATCACATTGAAGTCTGAAACCTTGGAAAGACCTTTGTGATAAACTTAGAGATGCAAAAAAAAACAAAAAAACAAACAAAAACAGTAATATATGAGGACGTTTACTTTTGACATTCCTCAAAGCCCCCACATCGGTAGTTTTTATCCGAGTGTGACGTAAGACCTAACTAGCCAATAGCCATCCAGCTAAACTGTGATTGACAGCTGCGGCTGACTGTTTTCTTCCTGAAGTGGGCGGGAACACGCAGCTCAATAGTTTTCAGGGCAAAACAACCAGAAAAGGACTAAAACCAGGGTTTATACGAGTAAATGGTGAAATGAGCCATATCTACAGTAGTTTGAGCTGAAAAACTTAGTGTGCGTACTTTTGTTTGCTAAAAAAAAAGGGCCTTCAATAAAGAATGGATGCATGTGTCACCACCCAAACCAAAATAGTTTTCACAGCTAGCTCAACTTTAAATTCTTGTTTTAATCCAGTGTACAGTTCTTTTACGGTAAAATTACCCACTTTGAATTTGAAAGTTTTCGCACTGTTTTTCTGTCTTTTTTAAACATTTTAAAGCACTTTGTAAATCACTTTAAATGGTGTTTGTAGAGGACAATCCGGACAACACTGTTCAGCAAACATTAATCTTTCTTTACGCTAACTTGCCCTATAAACCATAGATATTATACATATCTATGCTATAAACTACCAGGAGTGGACGTGTCCTTAAAAACCCTACTTTTTGAATGGACTCTGGTGCGCGGGGCTACATGCTAGCTCTCATTCATACCTGCTCGTCCTCCTGGATGGACGCGGCCAGCGGCAGTCCGTCCGCGACACGGGCCACCACCGTCAGTAGGATCATCCCGGGGCTGGTCGGTGTTCGGCGGCTGTCGGCTGTCGGCTCGGTCGCAAACAGCGAACTTAGAAAACTTTGCGTGTTTTAGCTCCAAACTGATGATGCAGAGGGAATGCGTTGGACGGAAGTTGGCGGTGCGCCGGTGAATGAGGTCCGAGTAGAAACCGGAGGCACGACGACTCATTTTTTTTTTCACCGCATTAAAGCGGAACGCTGCTGGCGACTCGCACGCAAAGACAAATGGATTTCTGTATTTCGAGCTGATAATATCCATCTAGAAACACCTCGTATTAGCCGCGTTTTTGTGGGACTCGTTGTCTTCGAGCCAGCCGGTGCTCCTTTAGCAGTTTCCGAGGCCATGAGCTCCAGCGGTCCGACCAGACAGCTGGCAGACGGACGGACTGCAGCCCCACTGCTGATGCCTGCGCTGAGCCCAGAGATGCAGATACGGTCTGGTTCGGTCCTCCGTCTGGACTAAAGCCTCTCTGAACTGAAGCCAGAGGAAGGAGCTCTGAAACATGGACACACCTGAGAGGTATTCTTTAAACTGTATTTTGCCACATTAACATGATGTGTGTGATGTATGGTCTCGGTGTGCGCGGTGCGGTCCTGCTGCTGCTGCTGCTGCTGCTGCTCGTGGAATGGCTGCTCTTTTCGCATCTTTTGTTATTATTTGTCTCCCATGTTGTAAAAATGAGAAGATGGTGGTTGACATTTCGGAGCTTTGAAGGTAACTTGCGTCTCCTTCGCTTGCTCATCAAACCGCGGAGTGATGCCCTGGATGCAGCAGCGTTTATCCGCCTGCAGGCTCCAGCTTTAAGCCGGAGGAGGAGGATGAGTGATGGGTCAGGAGCAGCTGACTCTGCAGCTGGACTCTGCTGAGCGGTCAGTGTGTTTAGGATCAGCCATATGGGGATGGATCACTGTGCGTTTTCCGGAGCCTAACGCATAAACACTGGGCTTATTTAGCGGTACCACGCTGACGTATGGCTGCCGTGTACCGCCGGCGATGGGAACACTTGCGCGCAGCCACTTTAATCCTGTGAGCGCCACAGAAACCCCCCATTCAGCGCTGAAATGACCCGGCGGCTTGGCACAGTGGCATCCCGGCGTGCTGAAAGGCCTCATTGTTGCGGTGCAGCTGGCACCGCCGTGCGCACGTTGTGATTGGTGTTTTCCCAGCCCGGCGTGTGCGTGACTCACGGGCAGCCTTAAACCGTCTATTTTATTGTCTTTGGCGAGAATAGATTGAGAGGCCCGCGTGTTTTAATGCTAGGGTGGGGCGCTTCATGACTAATTGATTATGAAAATAGTGATTCCCATGCAGGGGATTTCTTCTTCTTCTTCTTCCCCAGAGACAGGAGCCGAAGCAGGGAGCTCTGAGGCGGTTTTGCGCACAGTTTTTTTTTTTTTTGCAGTCCTGATCTAACCATGCACTGTCCCTGCTTGATACCTGTGCCCAGGTGTGCCTGTCATGCTCGGGGCTGAGGAGGAGAGCAGCTGAGGAGAAGGAGATGGGCTGCACCTCTGCTAAGCAGGTGTCTGCCGTGCCCAACGGTGAGGAGGGCCAGAATAAAGCCCACAGCAACGGGGACCTCCTGTCCGGTCAGTCTGTTTCCTGTCTACACTTTCTGTTATTTCCACCGTCGTTAACGTCCTCAGGGTTTCAGTGACCTTTTGGATAACGAGGTGTTTCTGAATTTTTAATGATCAGGGCCATGTTTACCCACTGGCGCCTAAAATCGATGTGTTATTAGAAATAAAAATAACACTGAGCTGTGAAAATGCAACCTTTAACTTCTTCTGTTCCCTGGAAGACTGTGACTCTGATGTTAGTGGGACCTTTAATTAGCACTTTCGTTGAAGGAACTCATGCTTCAAACAGAACTGTACAGCTGCTCCAGAGCTTTAAAACAGCCTTCCTCTGGCAAGAAAAAGTTCCTATTCCAGGGATGTTTGTAGGGAAAATCTCAAAATGTGTGTTTTAAATCTTGATTTTTAGTATTTATTTTATAGTAGACTTTATTCTTATAACTTGTTATCCCGTTCTCAGTTTTTTGCCAAAGCTTATTTTTTGTACCCTCTTTCACAAACTGATGGCATTTTGCACTTGTTTCTGTTGCTGCCTGACTGTTAACACGTGCAGCCACCATCGTTTTAAAGACAATTCTAGCGCAGGGCTGCAAAAACCGATTACTTTATCAGTGAGTGCAGCGATAACATGTTGGCTCCATAAAATATGTGAACATGTAAAAAAAATAAATAAAATGCATGTCATTTCCATTTTAGATTAAACTGGAGTGTGCAACGTCAAACATTTCAATTTAAAATTAAAAAAGCAGCAAATTTAGTCAATTTTAGCTTCAAAAGTGACTCAGTTAATAAGAGCCAGCTCCTCAGCAGTCCTCCTGCATCTTAAGGACACAGGACGCTCATTTGAAGACAATAACGTACAGATTGTGGAGGACAGATGGTTTGAGAGAGGAGTAAAAGAAGCCATCTATGTCAAACTGGAAAGACCATCCCTGAACAGAGGTGGAGGTCTGAGGCATCACCTCTCACCTGTTTATGCGTCAGTCTTAAGATCTCCCCTCAGGAAGATGAAACCACATCCACAATTAGCCACAAAAGTCCCTAACGAACCCTATGGTGGCAGGGGGAGGAGCAACGAACCCCCAGTTGAAACTGAAACTCAAGTGTTCATGGCTCCTAAAGAATATCTGGAACTCCCAACTAGTCAGTCAAAGCTGATGAAGCCTCTTGGATGAGAGGTCTTCAAGGAACTCAAGCAGGTCCAGCTGCTACGATTAAACTCGTAGAATACTGAACTCATGAAACCAGTTTGAGAAGACATGGAGCATCGTCCCTCTGGCAGCAGCCTTTAGGAGATAGTAAACCGTGGCCATAAAGAGATGGGCAGAGTGACTGTTAATTGGCTCATTTGATTCTTCTAAAACATTCATTCTGATTCCTTCACTGGTACATGGTGTATTCCACTTCCTGCCAAGCTACACGTCTCCTAATCAGTCATGAACAAGAATTAGCGTCCAACTCAGTCACTCCTCCAGCTCTGGCGAGTATCAGCCCCAGTACTATAATACTCGTGTTCATTCACTGTAGGCGTTGGCACTCGGGCCCAGGTTTCCTCACTGCCTCCCATTGGCCATCGCTGACACACAGGAAGCAGCTTTTAGATCACAAATCTGACAAACAGAAGAACGAAAAGATCGTATCTGTGCAGGGAAGTGAATGTGATCGTACAGTTCCTGTGAGACACTCATTCCTCGCGTCACAAATGTCACACTGCTGATGCAAAAGGTCAACAACAAAAACAGTCAGGTCATGATTAATTGGTATTAACGAGCCACAAGTGTTTCATGAAAACATCCCCCAGATGAGGTGCTGTCCACGTCTGTAGAGAGACTGTCTCAGTTGCAAACCCAGACGGCTGCTGACACCACAGACACGTAGTTGTGGTTCATACACCACCCTGTAGTCTATTTTGAGGACATGTTTTAGACATGCACTGCACATCTCATATGCACACTCTTGCAGCGTAGTTGCCACACCGACACACATCGAGAGCGTCACACAGGCTTCATGACAAACTTTACATCACTGGGATACTCATAAATATGGGAAGTATGAGTGTGGCCTTTCTGTCAGCTCTGACCTTTCTCCTCCGGCTTGTCTCATTAGTTAAAAGCCTTTTAATTTCCAGAACTGCCGCCCAATGCTGTGTTTTTAACATCATTTGAAGTCAACTTTTCAGAAGTCTGAAAACATCTCTTCTGCAAACCCACACAGAAAAATTCACTATCAAGAAAAGCATTATCAAAAATTAAATTTCTAGTCATTTAGATCAACTGGAGGCCACATGTATGGATTTGTGAGAGTGCCAAATTACAAAAATAAATCAATAAATAATTATAAAATAAAAGTGGGAAAAAAAAAGAATCAATAAAATAAATAAAGTGGCAATATAAAGCAATATTAATCATAAATTAATCCATAAAACAAAAGGCTAATAAAAGTAGAAATATAAAGAAAAATAAATACAATAAATTTAAAACATTAATAATTAATTTTTTAAAATATATATATATTTTTATTTGTATTATTATTATTTTTTAATTTTCTCTATTTATTTATTAATTTTTTGAATGTTTTTTTATTTTTTTAATTAGTTTTTTTCATTTTTATTATTAATTAGTTAGTTTTTATCTATTTTTTATGTCGCTTTAAAAGCAAAGGAAATATGTGCAGAAAAACAAAATTCCTGATGCGCATATTTTTCTGCAGTAATAATAGTGATAAAATAGTTATAAAAATGAAAAAAAAATAATTTTAAAAACTAAATAAATAATAACAACAACATATAAAATAATGAAAAGATTAAAAAATAATAAAAATATATTATGAATATTTTTTTATTATTTTATGTATTTGTCTTTATATTTCTACTTTTATTAGCCTTTTCTTTTATGGATTAATTTTTGATTAATATTGCTTTATTTTGCCACATTATCTATTTCAAAATTTTATTTATTCTTCTTTTTATTTCCACTTTTATTTTATTATTCTTTCTTTGATTTATTTTTGTAGTTTGGCACTCCCACTGCTCCATACACATGGGACATAAAAACGCTTTAAGAACAATGCACAGCTTAAATACAACCTCAATGATCAGTAGGGCTTGAATGAACGTTTAAAGATGTGTAAACTGACAAGCTGTCAAATCCTGCAGCGCCCCCTTCATCTATGCTTTATTTAAGCAAGACTTACGTGATACCACTATAATCTGTGACAAATGTCAGCAGGGTATCTCAGATCTTTACTATCATCGCAGCTGTTGAAGCTTCTGCAGATAAACAACAAATAATAGCGTACACAACATTAATCTCTAGTGTTCTATCTGTACGTGTCCATCAGACCGTCATCGCTATGTTTCATATCTGCATTTCCATTTCCTCTTGTCTAAAAGCGTAGGAGTGGGATAGAGGAGGGGGCAGTAAAGATGGAGAGCCAGAGAAAAGAGGCGAATCAGGCTGCCGGCTCATGTGTTTGCTGCCTGCCAACCATTGTTATGAGAGGATTTAGTCTGGAGCGTGAGAATTCAAGCACGTAATTACTTTGCCGAGTACTGAACTATGAGAACTATTAACCTCAGAGGATAGCGGCGATCGGAGTGGCTCGTCCTCTGCGTGCCTGCTGCCGCCGCCGCCGCTGACATGTACTAATAAGAGGAGATGTGCTCCTCTCTGCCTCTCTGTCTCCCACTCTGTCACAGATGAGTACAAGATGAAAGGAGTGGAAAAAGTCAAGTACATCAGCGGAGAAGAGGCGGGAGTGGACGGCCAGGAGAGCACAGTGCGTGATATTCCCCTTTGCATTCTCTGTCTTCTCATCTTCTACGTGTCTGAAAGGACACTCACTCATATGTAATAATGTCTTCTGCTTATCTTACTGTCGGTGAAAAGGGTAAAGTTGATCTCAGGATGACATGAAGTTCATATTCAGACATGTTTGATAGCGTTGGAGAGGCCCAGGCTGCATCTATTTGCATAATAATGACAATGGTGATTCTTGTTATATAACATTAGGTACTATTAGACGGAGAAATGCTTTAACAATTCATCATATTATCTGGCAGCTCGAGCCCTTATTTAATTATGTTTTATGCTCTGTGGGTCCACTCTGCTTCGTCATGAAACACAACTATTTGCACATTTTGTGTGTGGTCCTGCAGGAGAAGAGCGCTCTCCTCGGTAAAGGTCAACACACAGAGGACACGGGATCAAACGGAAATGGAAAGATTCTGTAAGTATCGCAGACTACCGCAGCATCATTAACACGTATTCATATGTTTTGTACGAGGTTATACTGTGAGGCTGTTGTCTTCCCTGCAGGAGCATCCACTCCTCAGAGAGCCAGCAGGAGTTCTTCAGGATGCTGGATGAGAAAATTGAAAAGGTAAATGACGGCAAACCCCAACTGGAGCATCGCTTTATGTTTTTGTGTTTTGGCACAAAGCCCCTCCGCTAAATGACATAATGGAGGTTAATCCTATCACTGCTGCAAATCTGTGGCAGGCGGGGACACGACAGATGATAGTGAAAAACAGCCTCAATCTGTCCCGTCCAGCGCGTTCTGCCGGCGCCGCTATTTAAAGGTTCCTGAGCTCTAAACGATTCGACTTCACTGTGATGAATCAATTTGCGCTAATGTGGGCATTTCTGACATATTTATGAAAGTCTGCATGTCACTGGTTTGGAATGGCTCAACACGCCACCTAGTGGCTGGAACCTTACAGGACCAGCGTTGTGTAGCAGCCCTGTGCTTTGTGTGTTCTGACCAGAAGAACCACGACTGCTGAAGCTTTTCGGGGCCGGTTTTGGGGGGAGAACAAAGTACCTACTCCAAGGACCTGATTGTTTAAACTCAGACATGACAAATGCTACTTGGTTAAACTCTGGGAGGACAACAAACCCCATTTTTCTGCCTTCTTGTTGCCTCTCTAACCACCTTCGCAACAAAAACCCTCTGTTGTTCCATTTCCGACAACAGAACTCGGTTATGTCCACTCATCCATCATCTCCACACCTTAATCCTCACTAGGGTCGTGGGGGGCGGAATCTATCCCAGCTGACTCAGGGTGAAGGCAGGTTCACCTGGACAGGTAACCAGTCTATCACAGGGCTACACTTAGAGACAGACAACCAAGCACACTCACATTCACACCTACGGACAATTTACAATCACCAATTAACCTCAGCATGTTTCTGGACTGTGGGAGGAAGCCAGAGAACCCGGAGAGAACCCACGCTGCACGGGGAGAACATGGAGACTCCACGCAGAAAGATCCCGGGTGTCCTCACCGGGATGCGAACCCGCGACCTTCTAGCTGCGAGGCAACGGTGCTAACCACCGAGCCACCTTGCAGCCCTCGGCTACGTCCAGTATCTACAATTTGTTGTTGTTTTGGCTCAGTCAAAGTTGTCAGATCCTACACTACAGGGGAAACTGAAAAACTGAAAAAGCCAATTATAAGGCCAGTAGTGTAAACGTTCACATCATTTCAAGCCTGCCCCAAGCTCCTGCAGTAAAAATCCACCTATGGAGTGAACCGTTTATCTATGTCATGAAATGTATTTATCATAAATTGTTAATTCCCATCTAATCACAGTTGGGGAGTCCACCTCCTTCATTCTTAGGTGTGAGTCTGAGAAACCCATTTTCAAATACACCATGTTTGAGACTTATTTATTACAGTTAAGGCTATTGTTTTTTGCTAATCCTTTACTTTCAATTTTGGCGCAGTGGTTTAGACGCACCATCAGAATGTTTTTTCCCTTCAGACTCTCCATCCAACTGCTGCCACTCACAAACCGCCTCCATCCTGTCTTACATCACTTTGTCTTTTTGCAGAATTATGCACCATATGTATAGATGTGATAACTAATAGCAGAGGGTAAACTCATGCTTAAAAGTAATTTACAAGTATGTCTGTGCAGCCAAGATATAAGACATATCACATCACTCTGTGTCCTGGAGGTCCACTGTTATCCAGAAATGCTACAGAAATACACAAGTGAGTCACACTGTTGTACAGCCACTGTAGTCTATTTTCAGATGATCCCACGTACACCATCCCGCTGCTGGAAACATTCACTACAGCCCCAAATCAGTATTCATCCGCAGATAAAACAGTCCCAGACAACAGACACACTGGTCCCTGATACTGGCTTCTAAGTGGTCAATATGGAGCAACAAAAGCAGTTTCATACATTTCTCAGAACAGTAGTTTTGTAGTTTGGGATAACCAATGGTGCATATTCACAACAGCACCAGCGTTTAGTCTACAATGAAGATCTCTCTCTTTACTCCGAGGACAACCACAGAGATCAGTCTTTAGTGTTTGTGATTTAATGAAGTAACAAATCTAAGACATATATTATTTCCTGTATGTCAAAAATTAGACGCCATTAGTCTTTGACCAAAAGTTCTCAGCTGGTGTCGTCACTACTTTTCAGGAAATGGAAAGTTTGCTCTGTAACATGTGTTTAACACGATCTTTTTCTAAACCTAACCAAGCAGTTTTAACCAAAGAGTCAGTGAAAACACAGTCACTAAATAAAACAAAGCTAAGTGAAACCGTAGTTGTGTCACAAAAGACACAAGCTCAGTCTCCTGGGTGAAGGTCCGACAACCAACACCAGCCCTCCGACCTCCTGATGCTGCTCATTAAAACTGGAAAAACTCCCAAGAGTCTGTCAGCTTTAAACATCGACACCAGACGCAAAGAAACCAAATGAAACCTGACGCATGTCACTGAGACGCCATCAGCTTTAACTGCAGTATTTGCTGCATTCCGACATAGTAAAGGGCTGCAAGGTGGATCAGTGGTTAGCACCGTCGCCTCGCAGCTAGAAGGTCGCTGGTTTGCGATCTGTCTGCGTGGAGTCTCCATGTTCTCCCCGTGCAGCGTGGGTTCTCTCCGGGTTCTCCGGCTTCCCCCCACAGTCCAGAAACATGCTGAGGTTAATTGGTGATTGTAAATTGTCCGTAGGTGTGAGTGTGAGTGTACTTGGTTGTCTGTCTCTAAGTGTAGCCCTGTGATAGACTGGTTACCTGTCCAGGTGAACCTGCCTTCACCCTGAGTCAGCTGGGATAGACTCCAGCCCCCACGACCCTAGTGAGGATGAAGGTGTAGAGATAATGGATGGATATAGTAAATGAATATTGGAATGATATGAGTACTGTGAGACTAATCCTTCTACATTTCTCTACATCCAGGGCCGGGACTACTGCTCAGAGGAGGAGGACATGACATAGCCCTGCTCTCGTGCATCCGTCCGCCGCAGCATGAGAGGAACTTTCACTCCGGCGTCATGGATGGATCATAGAATGTGACACTTTGTCCTGTCCACGAGACGGGAGGACTGGGTCTTGTTCTGACCGTCCCACAGGCCCGACCAGAACAGACTACTGACTTGAAACAAGCACCTTTTTGCTGTCCTGCTCACAACCTGCTCGTCTGATCAATTCCAAGAAAGACCACAACCAAAATCAAATTCCCCAAAGGGAGAGAAGGTTTAGGTTCCTCGGTGGAGCCTTTACAGGATAATGGAGATCTGACACTTTCCTTTAACTGGGATGTACACAGCTGTCACTGAGACTTCTTGTCAACATGCAGGCTGCTGTCGATCTACATTTCTGACGGCAGAAGTGCTCTCGTGGACGCTCATAGTGAAAATACCGTCCTTGCATCATTCTGAATATTTCATCCTCCCTGACAGGTCGACGAGTTGGAAACTTCCTGCATTCCAAGACACAGTATGAACCTCTTTTCTACAGTATGTCGGCCAGTACGGTGCGTTTGTCTGTCCGTGTCCGTTTCTGTTACGACGTAGAGTATTTATGTTGAATAAGGCTCAGGGTTGAAGTGTTGTAATCATCGTCTCATGTAGTCGAGTCCTTCTCTCATTAAGACACTGTTACACCATTAAAAACACACACTCGTGCACTCACACGCCAGGGACGTGCCCTGCTTCAGTATCCGCTCCATTTAGCCCTACAGGGTGGACACCGAGCGCAACATCACATATTAGTCTGATTCTGTATTTCCTTCACCAGTGTTATATCGTTGTGTTCAGTTTCTATGTTGAATTTTTGGTTTTCTAGAAAAATAAAAAGTGTTTTCGGTAATTTATCCCTACAGTCGATGGCAGTGTGTTGTCATGTCAAGAAATGGCACCGCGGGTAGACGTGCAACAAGCGAGGAACAACCTGCAAGATGAAGCATCAATCATCTACTAATTTTATACAGTTATTCAGTTTTGGTATAAAAATCACGTTACTGTGTTAAATATGTTGCAATCTATGATATCTGTAATACAAACTTGCACTGCTGATGAAAAAGCTTGAATTAGGTGCCCAAATAATAGAATGGTTTGGTATTACAAGGCAAAGTTGGACAGGTAACCAGTCCATCACAGGGCTACACTTAGAGACAGACAACCAAGCACACTCACATTCACACCTACGGACAATTTACAATCACCAATTAACCTCAGCATGTTTCTGGACTGTGGGGGGAAGCCGGAGAACCCGGAGAGAACCCACGCTGCACGGGGAGAACATGGAGACTCCACGCGT